AGCCCGGCACAGTGCTGGCATCAAGTAGGTGTGGGAAGCGTGTACACCAGAGATTTACAAAAAGGCAGCTGATGGTGAGGGGTCAAGGATCAGCGCCATCACTTCTGGATTAGCCACTGTGTTACCTTGGTCTCTGGGCCTCTCCTTTTCCATCTGCACAATGGGGACAAATGTCTGCCACATTCTTAATCCAAAAAGTTGCTGAAGGTTTAAAGAAGGTAATACTTAAAAAAAAAAGCAAAGCTTTAAAAGCGATTTTTCAATTTCAAATGACCCCCTCACCCGCATTCCCCATTCTCTCCTGAAGTGGTGATGAGCTTGTGGACAACATTGGTTGAGCTTTCTGAGAACTCTTCCGATGTCTTTAAAGTATTCAGCAGGCGAAGAAGAGAGAAATATTGCTCAGTTCAGTGTCGTTTCTGGGTAAATGTATTCAAACGGTGTTTCGTTCCATAGTAATGGGCACAAATTGGGATTCCAGATCTTACTGTTTGGACAAGCCACTTGGCCTTTTTTGAGTGTAGTTTTCTAGTTGTGTAAAACGGGATGGATGACAATGGCCTACTCCACTGGGCTGTGAAGTGACAGTGAGATTGATTCACGGTGCTTTGTTTGCAAACCAGCCATCTCCCACAGAAATTTGGGGCTACTGTTCTATGTTAATACAACTGGTTACAAATCTACTGCCTGGTGAGTCCCAGGTAACCAGTTCAATTAGGCACCACATTGTGTCTGAAGGGGAAAGGTTTGCCATCCTTTCCTTTCAATCTTAGGATGCCACCTACTGTTGAGGACAGGAATTACAACGAATAGAACACTTGCAGTCACTAAAGGTGGCCACTAAGGGGCCAGATCATCCCTCCTCATTGTCCCCTCCTGTGGTCACTTCTGGAGTTAGGTGGTATATTGCAGAGGCTGGAGGAGGGAGCAAGAGAGATATGCGTCTCAAATTCTGAGGTCATGGTTTTCCAGCACAGTGTCCTGAAGGCTTGCCCACGGCAACAATGGGACGGTCAGTCCATAAGTCTGGTCCATTTACTGCCTGGGTATCCCAGGGATCCTTCCTTCCTTATCCCCATGCCACCTCCTGGTCCAGCCCACCATCCTCTCGCACCTGGATGGCACAGCAGCCTCCTCACCGACTTCCCTGCCTCCATTCCCGCCTGCCATGCTGTTCTCCAGCATAAATGTCCCCCCGTGGCCACTGGGAGGAACCTAAGCTCCTGGCCCTGCTCACACGGCTATTCAAGCTGTCACCCCTGCACACACAGCCTTTGTCAGCGGCACTGCCACCTCTGCCCACTCAGTCCTTGCCAGCTGCTATTTCTCCCTTCCAGGCCTTGCCTGGCACACTCCTCTAGCCCCTCTCATTTGGCTTCTCATTCTGCCTTCTCAGACGCTCACTGTGAATGCTGCTTCCTCCAGGATGCCCTCCCTCCTTGGTCCCCAAGGATCCTGCGTGCGTGTCTTTCCTCCAGTTTAGTCCATGTCAGCTTGTATTTCCCCTTTACCTGCATATTCCCAGAGGACTTGTTTCTCCTAGGGGCTGTGTCCAGTCTTCTTCACAGCAGTATTCCTATTTCATGCATTTCCTGAGACACAACAAGTGACCGGCTACATCTAGGTGATCCTGACCTGTGGGGACCCTATGTATGTCAGAGGAGTATAGTGCTTCATAGGCGATTCAGTGGCCAGCTTTGTGCTCATGGGTAGCCAGGCCTTTCTTCTGCCACACCTCTCAGCAGACTCAAACCTCCAATTTCTTGGTTAGTACCAAGTAGGACCACTTCCTATGACCACTTCCCAAACACAACAAGGGAGTAAGAATAGCAGTAAAGGGGGGAACAGATTCATAACAAAGGGCTCAAATAACAGCGATTGTGAGGTGGGCACAGGACTGGGCAAGATTTCTCTCCGTCGTGCATAAGAAAATGAAGAGTTGGAATTGACTTGATGGCACCAACAATATTCTTTCATAAGGCCCTGGGTGGTGCAAACGGCTAATGTGTTCAGCTGTCAATCAGAAGGCTGGATAATTGAGTTTACTAGCTGTTCTGTAATCCCAAAGGCACACAGTTCAAATCCATCAGCTGTTCCATGGAAGAAGGATGAGCAATCTCTTCCCACACAATTAACTGCCTCTAAAAACTTGCCAGACGATCAGCTGTGGATTGGTTCCAACTCGGCGGTACACAACAGCGACCCCTTAGGGAGTTTTTGTAGCCTATTGGCAAGTAGCTGTGCTGCTATTGGAAAGGTACATGGTTCAAATCCTTAAGTTGCTCCATGGGAGAAAGATGGGCAATCTCCTCCCATGTGATTTACTGACCCTGAAGACCTGCTGGAGGGTTTACTGTGGGTGGGTTCCAACAACAGATACCGCTTAGATGGAAGAAAGGCTTGGCCATCTACTTCTGGAAAATGAGCCCTGGAAAACCATACTGTTCACAGTTCTTCTCTAACCCACATGAGGTCTCCAGGGGTCAGAACTGACCCTATGGCAACTGGTCTCATTGCTGTAAAGTTCTGGCAATATAACCATGTTATAATAAAAGATTTCCTGGCCACCTTTGTTCTCCAGGTGGGTGGCTAGGGGAAGCATTATCTTGCTCGGGGTGTCCGTGTAAGTGGAAGATATCTGAGGCTGTAGGCAGACTCCCTTTTACCCTTGAAGGTGACCTAGGTGGGTGGGCAAGGACAGAGGTTGTAGAGCCCCAGGATTGCTGCTATGGTGCCTTCTTTTGACTTCTGAAGCCACGCCTGCATCCCTCCAGGCTTTGGGTTTGTTAGGTCACCACTGTCACTGCAGCCTACATAACAGCCTGCTCCTGGTCAAGATCCCCCCATTCTGTCCTCTTATTCAAGCCAGGCCATCTTGGCAGGGTGGCAGGCTTCTTCCTGGAGGTCTGGCTATCACTGAGGACATCTGGACCAGGCCTCTCAGTAATGCTTTTCTTAATACACACTCTAGGACCAATGCTTTCTGCTCCCCTGAGCCCTTGTGGGACTCTGGCCTGGGATTGGGCCCTTTACAGACACTTCAGGCTGGGCTTTCTCACCATGCCCCTTGGACTTGACCAATTAGATGCATCTGTGACCTCCCAGCAGCCAGCATTGACATCTCTCAGCCGAAGGCTTATTCGGAAGCCAGAGATGGCCACTCTGCCCTTGAGGGGGAGACAGGAAGTGGCCAGGCACTCATCTCCTCCACTCCAACTCCTTCAGCAAATGGCTGGTGGACGCTGGTGTATAAACGCCCCCGAAGTCAGTCTCTCTGAACACATGAGCTCAACCCCAGCCCCTAGAGACTTCCTGTGGGCCTAAGCTCCAGTCACCTACAGTAGTAGTGGTGGTAGGGGCTGTGGAGTTGGTTTGACCATGGTGACTCCATATGACAGAGCAGATCTGGCCCACAGACTTTCCTAGGCTGTAATCTCTATGGGAACAAATTGATAGATCTTCCTCCCAAGGAATTGCCGAGCGGGTCCAACCGGCTCACCTTTCTGTTAGTGGCCGAGCTCCCTCCTACAATGCTGGACCGATTGAGAACCAACCAGATGCTGTCAGGTTGACATGACAACCACACGCGTGTCAGGGTAGAATGTTTACAGTGGTCTGCAATGGCTGAATCATCAGAAGTAAATCTTTCTAGGGGAGCTCTGGTGGCCTAGTGGCAAGAAGCTGCACTGCAATCCCAGAGGAACACGGTTCGAATCCACCAGACGCTCTGCCGGAGAAGGAGGCGCAATATCCTCCTGTACCAGTCAGATCTGATTTGACGGTACACGCACACAAAATAAAAAAAAAAAAAAAGAAGTAAATCTTTCTAAGTCTTTCTTTCAAAGTGCCTATGGGGTGGGGGTAGTGTGAGGAAATTGGAAGAATCTGGTCTGAAAAACAATGTATTCAAATTTTGGCAATAAATTAGTATAATTAAAACAAAACAAAACAAAATAAAAAGCACAACAAAGTGTCTCTAGGTGGACTTGAACTTCTAGCCTTTTGGCTAACAGCTGAGTACCTTAACCCTAGCATCCAAGGACTCTACTGGAGTAGTAACACTCCTTTACAATACTCTGTAGGGAGTTGTGTGTTTGGTTTTTTAAAAATTTTATTTATTTATTTTTTTAAAATCATTACTTATTCCATCACTCACCTGTAGGAAGTTTTGCTGACTGAATCCTCCTTCCGTGTGATTTACAATGATGGGTCAGCTGTGAGTCAGTTCTGATTCAGCAGTAATGAGCTGGGTTTTCCCCCCTCCCTTTTATTGCCTGCCTTTTCTTCCCTGTCTCATTTTCCATCTCCCAGGCCGTGTCTCCTGGTGCTACCTTCAAATAAGCCACCTGTACCCGAATTCTGCTCTGGGTCTGTTTCCCAAGAACCCCAAACCAAGATGGCGGAGAAGCTTCCTCTCAGGCTGCCTCACAGTCTTACTTTCTCAGCTCTTCCCCCTTCTTCTACTCCAGCTTGGACTTCTGCCACCTTCCCTTTTAACAGCAGGTCATGGCAATAGTCTCCATGCCCTGCGTGTCCTTCTCCCTGGACCTCTGACACACTGCTGGGAACTGAGGGTTTCTGTCACACGAATCACCGTGGAACAGTGCTTCCTCCCAGCTGCCTCCCAGTGGGGCCTGGAGCTCTTCCTGACATGTCTAACCTGTAGTCCAGGAGAACTGAACACTAGACCGAGCCACTCCCTGGGAGAAACGCTGCAACTCGAGCAGACAGAAAGGTCATTCTAAATAATAAAAAATAAAATTTAATTCTGTTCACGTGTGGCCAGTCCTTCCCCTGACAGGAAGCACACCTGTTCTCTCAGCAGAAGCTGGTTCTAGAGAGACCCTCTGAGGCTGGTCACCTCGCAGGCAGGTCATCTCAGCCTAGTGGGAGAGTCTGGCTTCCAAAGAGAGGCACTTGTCATAGAGTCTTCCCTTCTCTTGGCTTGCGGCCATCCAGGCTCCCAGTCCCAAGTCAGGAGTTTCTTCAGGACCCAGGGCCTAAAGCATCCTCTGGGGCACACAGCCCTCCAGCTCGAGCAGCTCCGGCCATCCCTCGTACTTGTTTGTCTCCGGGTTGTTCTTTAAGTACTGAAGAGAAAGGAGAGACACACACGCCTCAGCATTGGAGGGAGGAAGTTTAAGACACAAGCTTGGATTTGAGCTGTGATTTAAAACCCACGTGCCACTCCTTCTACCCCCCCTACTTCATTTTCACCACTTCCCTATTAGAAGGAGGCACTGGAGATTACCTCCCATTCCACAGACGGGGAAACTGAGGCTCAGAGAGGGAGTCTCAGAGATGGGATGAGGTTCTTTGTGTGGAATGGAGCAAGGGAGGCTTGGGGAGGTTTAAGCCCTTTTGCCCAAATTCTCCAACCATCCCCTCTGTTGCTGTGACTAGGTTCTATCAGGTCAGCTCAAACACAGTGCCCAGCAGAACACAACCCTGGTCAGTCCTGTGCCATCCTCACGCTCACAGCTGTGACCAAGCCCACTGTGGCAGTCACTGTTCCCAGCCACACCAGTTTCTCCCATTGTTGTGAGTTGAGACATGGCATTGAGACAGAACTGGGCTGACCCTCCAGCCAGTTACCAAAGGCTGTAAGCTGCACTGGAGATCGCTCCTTTTTCTCCCTCAGAGGAGCTGGTGGTTTTGAACCTCTTGCCTTTGTGTTTGGAGTGCAACTCCTTGTCCACTAAGCCATCAGAGCAACCTGCCAATCCCTCCAGGACATCGTAAATGACTATAATTATAACAACTATAATGAAAAGTCTTGCAGTTCTTGGGTGCTTGCGCTGTGACAGGCCCTGCTCTAAATGCTGTGTCTATCTGATCCTGACAATAACTAAACAGAATTGCACATAGTTACCATCCCATTCTACATATGGGAAAACCGAGGTACAGAGAGCCAAAGTCACTGCCTGTGGCTGCCCAGCTGGGAAGTGGTTGGACTACTGCATAGTTATCAGTTGATCTAACACTAACACATATAGAAAAATAACAGAATCACTATTAGTGGGATTGTAAAATGGTACAACCGCTCTGGAAGGCAGTATGGCATTTCCTCAGAAAGCTCAACATAGGAATTCCATATGACCCAGCGATTCCACTGTTTAGAATATACCTTGAGAAAATTAGAACTGAGGCATAAACGGAGACTTGTACACCAATATTCATAATAGTGTTATTCACCATCACAAGAACATGGGAACAGTCCAAAAGTCCAGCCACAATGGAATGGATTGAGAAATTGTGGTACATTCACACAATGAAATACTACGCAGGATGTAGGAGCAATGATCTTGAAAATTACTACCTAACTTGGAAGGGACTGTAGAGCGTTACGCTAAGTGAACTAACTCGGTCTGATATAAATTCTGCATAAGACCATTATTGTAGAAATAGATAACTGGTAACGTGTATCAGGATCTAAGGTGGGGGAGCAGAGGGGTGAGGATGGGAGGGTGGGAGGTAATCATAGGTGGAGAGAGGGTGGGTTAAGGAAATGGGAAAGACCTGGTGTGAAAAGCAATGTATATGAACTCTGTAAGTAAACCAGTATAAAATAAAAATTTTATAAAAGAATTAAAAAAAATCAGTTAAGAGTGTATTTCAGGGGAGCTCCGGTGGCCTAGTGGCAAGGAGCTGCAACTACAATCCCACAGGCACACGGTTCGAATCCACCAGATGCTCTGCCGGGAAAAGGAGGAACAATCTCCTCCTGTACCAGTCAGATCTGATTTGACGGTACACTCACACAAACATTTTAAAAAAAAGAAGGGAAAAAAAAGAGTGCATTTCAAAGGCTAAGGGTAAAACAGTTTGATTTACAGAGGGAAAAAGCAAATGCTAAAATCTACTAAAGGAATAAAAGCAGCTCACTATTATGAAGAAAACAAAGTAGATTCTGCTTCTCTAAAACCCAGCCCCCAGGTAGAGGGGCGAAGGCCGTATTCATGAGGCGGGTGGTGAGTCCCAGTCAGGCGGCAGTAACGATCAGGCCGGGTGGTAGTCCTGGCTCAGAGCTTATGGGTCTGGAACCTCCATTTCCACAGGAGAACAGAGCTCACTCAGCCTGTGTGACCTCCAGCCCTGCCTCTTGCTAGACTGTGATCCTCCTGACTTCCTTCATCTATAAACCCCCAAACCTGTTACCCTAGTCTGTTCTCACTCTGGGTGACCCTAAAGGACAGAGAAGAACTGGCCCTTAAGGCTGTAATCTTTAAGGAAGTGGATGGCCAGGCCTTTCTCCCACAAAGCGGCTAGTACCTTCAAAGCACCAGCGTAACGATAGCAGCTGAATACTCAACCACTGATGGGGTCGTCTCCCACCCCCAGCTCCTCAGTCCCCACATTTGGATCCCTCACAGCCCCTTTTTCCCGGCGGCCTCATACTTGAGACTCTCCCTCCAGACTCCGAGAGATGCTCCCTCTTCGCAAAGTACCTCAAGGGGCCTTGGAGCCCACCTGGTCCGAGTCCTTCCTGTACAGGTGAGGAGTCTGAGGCTGGACATAGATGGGACTTACACCAGAAGTCAGATGTCCTTCCTGGGACTCTGTCCCCCCTCACCACACAGCCTCCCTCACAGCATGACCTTTGCTTTTGCCAAACCACATCTCTCCTCATCTTCCTTTCCTCCTTTCCCTCCTCCATTGTAAGTCTTTGTTTTTCCATGTATATGGAAACTCTGAGGTCTAGCGGTAAAGAGTTGTGCTGTCAACCAAAAGGCAGGCAGTTCAAGTTCACCAGCTGCTCCATGGAGAAAAGTTGGGCAGTCTCCTCTTGTGTAATTTACTGCCTCTGAGAATTCCCTGGAAGGTCAGCTATGAGTCAATTTCACCTCAATAGCACATAACAACAACAACATATTCATATGTGAGTCACCTCCTTTCTACATGGTCAAAGCAGCTTCCTGTGGGGGTTACTGATGGTCAGATACCCTGACCCCTGGGTGGCTTCTCCACCCCCCACCCCCCCCACCTTTTGTGGCTATTCCTTCCTTCAGAGTAGCCCCTGGTGGGTGAGTCAGGTGACCTTGGCTGATGTTAGCAGTTTGCACACAACTACTAACCAAAGGTTGGTGGTTCAAACCCACCCAGAAACTCTACTGGAGAAGGACCTGGTGAGCTGCTCCTTTGATACCACAGGGAAGATAGCCTTCTGGGGCAGGTCTACCTGGTGCTGGTCACAGTCAGAAATACAGCAACAGGTTTACAGGTACGTGCTTTGGGCACCTCAACCCACACCTCGGCCTTCTCTGGGGCTTGGAGGGAACCAGGAACCCACCTGCTCAAAAGGGGTTTTACTCTTGAGGTTTTTGGCCCCTATGAAGACCCAGCTGTCCCGGAATCCGAGCTTCGCTGCATAGGAGCTCCCCAAGTTGGAGAAGAGGTTTCTGGTCTCATCATTCATTCTGTGGAAGGCAGAGAGGGCGTGAGTGGACAGTAGGGGTCGGAAGGGGCTTAGAGGGTGGGACAGGAGGAGGACGCGGCTCACAACGCCCTGCCTGCCTCACGTTTGGGGTCTGTGTCTGGTGGGGCCCCTGGAAGGAGGCCTCAGTCATGCTCCAGAAGAACAAACATGTCCCAGGCTTTCCTCTCCAAAAGGGGGACTTGATGGGACTGGAGAGGTGCGGAAATATCTTCTCTTCTGGCAACAAATATAATGTATATTTATTTGAAAAATTTAAAATAAATCCCAAGTAACTAAAAAATATAGTCACACTATCCTTGACGTAATTGCTGTAAATAATTTAACTCACAACCCCAATGTTAATTTCCCATGCACTGAGGGTTCTACAGACTGCTCCCAGCCTGCTTTCCTTCCCTCAACCCTCAAGGAGGAGTGCTTTTCATTTTCTTACCTACTGCCTACATCATTGTTGCTTCAGTATACCGTAACTTATGTGTACATGAGACAAATGATGCCATATTATTTGTTATTAAGTGTCATAAAATTGATTTCGACTCACAGCAACCCCATGTGACAGAAGAGACTTGGCCCACAGGATTCACTAAGTCGTAATCTTTATGGGACAGGAGCCATGGTGATGAAGTGATTAAGCACTGGACTGCTATCAGAAAGGTCAGTGGTTCGAACCCACCAGCTACTCCTTGGGAAAAGGGTGATTCAATCTGCTTCCATGCAGATTTCAGCCCGGGGAAACCTTCTGGGGCCATTCTACTCTGTCCTGCAGGGCCGCTTCCAGTCAGACAATTGACTTGTCAGCACACAACCACCTTTATGGGCGTAGACTGTCAGGTGTTTCTTCTTTATAAAATTTTTATTGTGATTTGAAGGAAAGTTTACAAAACAAATTGGCTTTCCATTTAGGAATTCATACACGTTACTGATTACAGTCTCCACATTTTAACAGCACTCTTCCCACTTCCTCCCTGTTTTTCTTGTTTCCACTCATCCTTCTTTTCTACCCCTTCCTGCCTGAGGAGATCTACCCTTGGGCAAATGCTCCTAGGTCTTTCACTCATGTAGTTTCTGAGTGGGTTGGAATCACTAATATTTTGGTTAACAGTTGAACTGTATGACCAGGGCTCCTAACATATCATGGTGCAGCATATATCACCATAGATCATCACTTATGTAACCTGCTAGCTATCAATGGACAGAGAAGTTGTTTCTAGTTTTTTGTTGCTGCAACAAAGTTGTGATGCACGTGAGAAAATCCCTCTATGTGTGTCTGAATAATCCCTGAGGTGACACAGAGTGGAGCCACAGAAGAGATGAAAGGGGGTAAGGGGGTGCAGGGTAGGGAATGCAAATGTCCCACTTACTTGGTCCCGGGGTCATCATAGGAGGCCACAAGCACCAGCGTGCCCTCTGGAATTTCCTTAAGGAATTTTATCAAGAGGTTGATATCTGGTCAAGGAAGGAAAAGAGGCTCTAGTCATTGAGGTTATCAGATGTACTGCACTGGGCAAGTCTACTGTCAGGGAACTCTCCAAAACACTGAAGAGCAGCGAGGTCAGTTTGAAGACTAAGATGTGCCTGATTCAGCCCATGGTCTTCTAAGTCATCTGCTACGTGTTAGAGAGTTGGGCAATGAATAAAGATGATACCCGGGTGCTCCCTGGAGGTTAAGATGGTGAAACTTTGTCTCTTATACTTTGGACGAGTACCTAGTTGAGGCTGTTCCTTGGACAGGGACATGCTCAGAAAGATGGAGGGTCAGTGAAGAACTCCAACAGAAGGATTGACACAGTGACTTCGGCAATGGGCTCTAGTGTGTTAGAGATGATAACGATGGCGCAGAATAGGGCAGGATTCAGGTCTGCTGGGCTTAGGGTCACTATGAGTCATTCAACTAGATGGCACCCAACAACAACAACAACAACAGTCATTTAGAGAGAGCTCTGGTGATAAGCTGCACTGCAATCTCAAAAACACATGGTTTGAATCCATGGGAGAAGGATGGGCAATCTCCTCACCTGTGATTTACGGGGCAGCTATGAGTACCAGTTCCAACTCTGTGGCACATAGAAATAACAGCAGCAGCTAGCGGCCTAAGAGGAAGAAGCTGTGCTGTAAGCCCAAAGGCACGTAGTTAGAATCTACCACCTGCTCTCCGGGAGGGGGATGGGCAATCTCCTCCAGTGCAATTTGGTGCCTCTGAAAACCCACTGGAGGGTCAGCTATGAATCGATTCTGATTTGATGGTACACAACAACAACAGTCATTTAAGGGAATGGATTGTTAGTCGACCTCTTCTATTTCCTTGAGTGGGCGGGGGGGCAGGAGGGATTTGAGGGAAGCTCCCTGCAGCCCTGGCCCTGGAGGAGAGCTTATGGGGGTCTAGTGGGTGGAGCAAGGTTGGCCACTAAGGTGGTCGGGGTCTGGGATCAGGACATTGAAGGTGATTCTAGCATGTTGTGCTGTGCAGAGCCACGGTCCCTGGGCACAGTCACCTTTCAGGACCCTCTGGGTTTTGTGTGTCCCTGACTCTGCCTGTTCCAGACACCCTTTCCTTACACCCACATGCCCCAGACAACCAGGATGTCGGACAGGGAACGTCATCGTGTGCTATTAAACCTATTCAGCTTTATGGAGATCTCGCATGGCAGAGTAGAACCGCCCCATCAACTGTAATCTTTACGGGAGCCAATTGCCAGGTTTTTCTCCTTTGGAGCTGCTGGCTGGTTTTGAACTGCCCCCTTCTAGTTAGCAGCTGAGTGCTTAATTATTGCATCATCAAGGCTCACTCCCAAAAGCTTTTTCAAAGACTTGATGTTGGAGCTTTTATGTCAAAAACATTGCTGTTGCTAGGAGCTCTCTTAAGGCCTCCAGATTCTGCTTGTGTTTGCAGACAGTGCGATGGGCTGTCTTCTGGGATGGGCTGTGCATTTGGGAAAAAGCCAGAGTGTCTCCTGTCAGTCACCGTCCCACCATCAAAAGCCTTCCTCCCCTTTTACTTCCTGTGGGCAGGGGCAGCACAAGTCTTTACCACTAAGCCACTAGAGCTCGAGGCAAAGCATTTAGAAACGGTTTCATTTTCCCCCCCTTATCATCCTGACAGCAGATTGCCTTGGTTTGGAAACACCTGGACGAGGTGAGGGAATTAGGAGCAGAAGAGAGAAGCTAAATTAGATCTTCCTGGTCCCTCGGGTGAAGAGCGCTGGTGGTGAAGTGTAGAACGTGTGGAGTTTCTAAGCTGAAGGCCAGTAGTTAAAAATCTACCAGCCGCTGCAGATGGGAGCTCTATGAGTCAGAATCAATTAGACAGCAGTAGGATTGGGTTTGACCCTCTGGCCGTCAAGATGGACCACTCTGCAGCAAAGATGCAGGTTATCATTTACCTCTGGCATTAGCCTCACCAAAGGCCCTGCATTTCTTAGATGGAGAAATGGAGGCATGGAGCTACCGCTGGCTCAAGTCTGCAGCCTGAAGTGTCTGATGGCAGAGACTGGATCTTTAACAGAAACCTGGCCCCAGGCCTCCCTGCCATCCACAGGGCTGGCAGGAGAACGTGTGCAGGTCTCTGAATCTCTTCTCAGCCCTCAGCCCCGCCTGCCCCCAGAGAAGTCTGTCAACAGTGGAGCATGCAAGTTCCCCATTCACACATCCTTCCCTATCAGCAACCCCACCACCACCCGCCCCCGCCCCTTCTTAGGGATGGGCTCAGAGGACCTTTTGGAGAGGCTGCCAAGGGCTCTGGATGTAGGCTGTGGGCTCCAGGCTGGTGAATCCTGGACTCCTCACCCCGAAGGCAGACAGGCTGAAAGAGGGCAGCTCAGGCCCTGGACTCCCTGTGCCCTGCTGGCTGACGTGCACATCCCAGGTGTGGCTCCAGGGAGCCCATTCCCACATCCCACCTCAGTCACCACCTCCCTTTCTCCTGAAGCTGAGAGGACCCCCAAAGTCTGGCTGCCTGCTGACTTTCTCCACTTGGGGTCACATGCTTAGGTGCCTTGTCCCTGAGGGTTGAGACAAAATAAGGAGGGGAGGGGAGGGGGGGGGAGAGGAGAGGAGAGGAGAGGAGAGGAACCCAGATCTTTGGGAGTAGAAAAGTTCTCATTCACTCTCTGAGAATGATGAGGCCAGAGCCCACACCCATGGGGCACCCGGAGGGCTGGGCTTCAGAGACGGGAGGGAAACAGCCCTTGTGTCATTGTCAGTCAGTGGGTGGCATCTGGAGCTGGGGCTGAGCCCACTGTCTTTGGAGAGCGGTCAGGGTTGGGGGGAGGGTAAGAGTTCTTCTGGGTACAGTCCTGCCAGATGGCTGGTGGATGGAAACTCAGGTGCCTGGGGCCGTAGACCAGGGTAGGTCAGTGCCCCGTCCTGCTGGGTTGTGCTGAGGTGTGGTTGCTAAGGCGAGGCCATGCACACAGAGAAGCTCAAAAGGACATCTTGTAAAGACATCTACAGACAGAGCCCGCACCTCACAGCTGGTGTTTCTGACCTTGGGAAGCCAGACTGCTCCTGAGTCTACTAGAGGCTCTGGGGACCTTAAGGTAAAACACCTGCCTATCTGAGCTTTAGCGGGTATAGCAGGCAGGACGCCCTTGTTCCTGGCACTTCAGTGCTCCTAGGCCTGTCAGCTGCCAGCACCCGTGTTCTTTGCCTGAGGGCTGTCTCTGTTCTCTGAACCCTGCTTTGCCACCTTCAGGTGCTGCAAGGGCCAAGGAATCACCAGGATGAGCACCAGCTCCGTGGGCCAGATCGGGACATCTCTGAGGGGAGCGTTCTACATGAGCTTCCACGATTCCCTAGTGGGTCTGAGCCCCAGCTGCCCACAGCGGGAAGCGGCTTAACAACACTCTCCATTGGCTTCTTTTCTATCATTTCCACTCCCCTAGGGAGCTTCCTTGAGGTTTCCTCCTGAGCAAACCATGTGCTGGGATTCTTATCTCAGGACCTGGCCAGGGAGAGGTCAGAGAAAGAAAGAAGGACGGCTTCATCCTTCTGTTAACTCACAAAGTGACCCCTTCTCTTCATCTCCTATAGAAACAAGCACCAATGGTCCTGCCTCCATTGGCTTCCTGCCTCTATGGGCTTCCCACCCCCGGAAAGGAGCCTGGGCCACCCCAGCCAGACCCACACCCACCTCCAGAGTACATGTCGAAGGAGCTGTGCTTCAGCATCATCCCCGTGGACCCTGGGGGGTTAAAGAGAACATAGCCATTATTTCCTGTAATGTGTCGTTCCACCTGCCAAATTGCTAAAGATGGCTCCTCTTTGGCTGGCATGTCTAAAGATTAAAAACATAAGAATTGAATAAAACCAGGTCTTATGGAAAGCATGCAGGAGCCGTAAAGTTGTGGGGCTGAGCTGAGAGGTACAGAGTGGTTGAGGGATTCTGGAAAAATCTGGGTCTCTGCTCTGTCCTGCATGTCCCAATGTGTGTTGTAGAACACTAACCTTCATTTTTGAAAAATTGATACAAGGAATTGTATGAATGTTATTAGGTGCTGTTGAGTTGCATATGACCCAAAGTGACCCTATGAACACCAGATCTGACCCCTGTGTCATCTTCACACTTTCTGACATACTAGGGCCTACTGTGGCAGCCACTGCTTCCATCCACCTGGTTGAGGGTCTTCCTCTCCTTCGCTGACCCTCTGCCTTTCCAAGCATTATTCCCCTCTCCAAGGAGTAGCTTCTCCTAGCAAAATGTCTAAAGTATGTGAGGAGAAGCTTTATCATCTGCCTCCAAGGAGCACTCTAGCTTCACTTTCTCCAAAACAGATCTGTTGTTCTTTTGGCAGTCGATAGGATGTTCAGTGTTTTTCTCTAACACCACAGCTCAAAGGCATCAATTCTTCTGTCATTCTTATTCATTGTCCAGCCCTCAGATGCATAGCAAGTGATTGGAAAGTTCATGACTTGAATCAGACACACCTTAGTCCTCAAACTGACATCATTGCTCCTCAATAATTTGGAGAGGTCCCTGACTGCAGACTTTCTCGGTACAATATACCTATTTCCCGACTACTGGTACTAAAGAGTGTGTTGATAAATTCAATCAGATGTGTTTAGAGTATAAAGAAAGGAAGAGAAAGCCTAACTGTAAAACAATAAAAATAAACTATCATCATCATTCCAAAAATCTTGCTCCTATAGAGCCAGTTCTGACTCAAGAGCCCTTATGCTAGAAAGCTCCTCCTCAGAATTTTCTTGGCTGTGATATTTATGGAAGCAGAACAACAGACCTTTCTTCCACAGCACTTCTAGGTGGATATGAACTGCCCAGCTTTTGATTAGTAGCTGACTGCAATGTTTGCCCCAATCAGGAACTTCTAATTATCATTAAGACAAAAATATCCACTGCTGGAAAGACTCTGACTCACAGAGACCTAATGTTATTGTCAGGTGCCGTCAAATCGACCAGGACACACAGCAACCCTGCAGAAGAGCAGCACCGTCTCCTGGGATTTCCAAGACCAGAAATCCTACACCGTTGGAGAAGTGGTAAGCAGTTGTGCTGTCAATCCAAAGGCATGCCTTTCGAATCCACCAGCTGCCCCTCTGGAGACAGGCAGGCAATGTCATTCCGTGTGATTTACAGCCTCTGAAAAGCTGCTGGAGGGTCAGCTATGAGTTGGTACCCACTCCACAGCTCAGAACAGCAAATCTTCGGGGGAGCGGACTGCCAAGTCTTCCTCATTTGGAGCATGGCTGTTGGGTTTGAACCACTCACCTTTTGGTCGGAGTAGGTTCCAATTCATGGCAGGCCTCTGTAGGACAGAACAAAACACTGTCTGGTCTTGTTCCACCTTCATAACTAATGACACGTTTGAGCCCATTGTCACACCATGTGTCGATCCATGTCATTGAAGGCCTTTGTTTTGCTGGTGCTGGATTTTAGCAAGCACAGTGCCCTTCTCCAGGGCACTGGCCCCTTCTTTAAATGAGGTGAAGTCTCATCACCCTTGCTTCTAACCAGCGTTCTGGCTGTTACTTCCAAGAGTCAGTCCATGGTATATGCCTATACTTTAATCTCATCTATTAAAAAAATCTGCAGTCTGAGTTCTCAGATTCTTGAAGACCAAAGGCTTGTATGCGGACTCAATGTTATTCAGTTTACTTAGTTTGGTAATCGTGACCTGCGTCTGTCCGTTTTGCCGGCGGTGAGACGTGAAAAGGTCGAGGAACTGGTGTTCTGCAATTTTCACACATGGCCACTAGATGGGGGTGTTGCAGAGGCGATCGCCGCTCTACGATGTCTGCGCTGTGAGATGACTGAGCAGGAGGGCGTGGGGGTTGGGGAGGAGAAGCGGTGAGCTGTACCCTCAGGGCCTCGCAGCACTCCTGCCTGGTGTGCAGGAGGGGTGGGGGGAGTGTGCTGGTTCACCTTCACCCCCTCCAGGATTCTTGGAGTCACAGTGTCTAAACCCCCTGAGGAGGTTCAGGCTCCCCTGGGGCCTTTGAAAAGGAACCTCTGAAACAGCTTTTATGATATGCTTGCTTTTACTTTTTTATTCCCCTGAAATGGTATGATGCTGGAGCGGAGTTTGAATAGTGTCTTCTGAATCACTGGTTCCTTAAAAATTGAGAACTATTGATGTGGCCTATCACCCCAAAGGCGGAGAGGGGTGGGGAGGGAAGAACCCTGCTGATTAGAATCAGGATGAATCTGACGGTGGGGGGCACAGACTTCTCTTTTTTTAGTAGTTCTTTTGCTCTTCTGGCTCAGAACACAGGTGACAGTGAGGCCCGAGAGCTATTTGTCAGGAAACCCCAGAGCTGGGCGGTACTGGGTGTGCACCTTCAGATATTTCAAGAAATTCAAGTGAGCAGCAATTCCCACCTGGAGCCTGCCTGACCTGGATTTCAATCTCGCTGATTCTGCCATTGGCTGTGTGGCTTTGGGCAAGTTGCCTAACCTCTCTGAGCTTCTATTTCTCACCTGGAAAATGGGGATCTTGAACAGATCCCCCGTGCAGCACTGTGCTGAGGCTAGGTGAGATCGCTAGCACATTTACTCTGTGCTTGGTGAAGGCGAGCTCTTGTGACTGTTATTTTATCCAGTGGCCCTTGAGGTGGATGGAGGGGAGGCCATTTGAAGAAGCTTCCTCGGGTTCAGGCTGAATGCTAAGAGCACTGGGTCAGGTCCCTGATGCTGGAGCCCTCACCTGGGCCTCCCGCGGTGGGGTGAGTGAAGGGTGCAGGGGTGCTGCCACCAGGGCCACCATTCCAGTGAGAAACGGGCCCTGGCTAACACCAAGAGCTTGGAGTCTGCTCGGCCATCCTGCCCCAGGCCTCTACAGGCACCCAGGAAGCTGGCCCTGGCTGTCCTCTGACACCCTCCTGGGCAGCACCCTACTCATCTCCAAGCCATGGCTTGCCCCCAACTCAGCTGCTTCTCTGGA